TTTTCACATTTTTGAGGCTCGTTTTTGAATAAACTCCAGTTTGGCTTTTCCACACTGGTAAATCTAGCCTCGCCTGGGTGTTCCCTACAGCCCACGGTATAAGACACAGTCTGAACTCCTTAGCATGTTCTTTCATGTCCTTCAATCTACTTTACCAGCATAATTTACCAGACCTTCTCCTCCTCCCCATTCCTCCTCTACCTCGAGAACCCTACCCTCCAGCTACATCAAAAGTACACATGTGCCCCAACTACCTTTTTATAATGGAAGGAGCAGGGATTTTAGAGTCCGATAAACCAGGTTCAAATCCTCCCTTGTCCACTTAGCTCTGTAGTCCTGGGAAGATTACTTAAATTCTCTGGGACTTCGTTTCTTATTTATAAAACAGCAATAATATTACTTAACCTTTCTGAGTTGCTGTGAGGTTTAAGCAATCTATATGGTGCAATCTTTAGATACATGTTTTCACCTTCCTTCATGATATATGCACACGGTTCTTTCTGAAGGGTTCTTTTCTTCCTTCCTTATCTCTACCTGGCACACACTTACTCTCCTTGAAGACTCTGTTGAATACCACTTGTCACCAACCCAACAGTTCCACTTCTAAGTATCTATTCTAGTAAGTTACTTGTAGAGATACACAAAGAGCTGTGTACAATAACTACTGAAGAAGTTTCTAGAACAGCAAAAAAATGGAAACCAAAATGTCCATCAAGAGGGGACTGGTTAAATAAACTGTGGTAATCCATACTATGGACTATATGCAGTAGTTAAAAGAGTTATATGTACTGCCATGGAAAGTTTCTGAATACCAAAGTGAGAAAAGAATTCAGAAAAGTATGCATGATAGATCACATTGTATGACAAGAAGTAACTAGTGTCAATGAGAATGTGGAGAAAAGAGAACCCTCATGCACTACGGGGAATGTAAATTGGTGCAGCCACTGTGGAAAACAATATGGAAGTTCCTCAAAAAATTAAGAATAGAACTACCATATGATCCAGCAATTCCATTCCTGGTATTTATCTGAGCAAAATGAAGATGCTATCTTGGAAAGATATGTGCACCCCCGTGTTTCCTGCAGCATTATGTGTAACAGCCAAGATACAGAAACAGCTTAAGTGTCCACTGATGGATAAATGGATAAAGAAATTGTGGTACACGGAGTGCCTGGGTGGCTCAGTGGGTTGAAGCCTCTGCCTTCAGCTCAGATCATGATCCTGGGGTCCTGGGATCGAGCCCCACATCGGGCTCTCTTCTCGGCAGGGAGCCTGCTTCCTCCTCTCTTTCTGCCTGCCTCTCTGCCTACTTGTGATCTCTGTCTGTCAAATAAATAAATAAAATCTTAAAAAAAAAAAGAAATTGTGGTACACATACACACACATGAATATTCAGCCATAAAAAGAATGAACTCTTGGCATTTGAGACATGGACCTTGAGGGCATTACCCTAAGTCAGACTGAGAAAGATAAATACCATGTGATCTCATATGTGGAACCAAAAGCAAACAAGCAAAAAAATAAACAAACCCTCAAAATCCAAGTTCACTGATATAGAGAACAGATTGGTGGTTGCCAGAGGCAGGGAGGGGTGGGGCAGGAGAAATGGGTGAAAGTAAAAAAGATAAAAATTTTAAAATATGTACTTTTTTAAATTAAGAAAATAAGAATTCTCATCTTCATAGGGAGACGGAATGTAGGCCCCTTGGGGAGAGTAAATGATTTTTTTTTTCTTAAGATTTTATTTATTTATTTGACAGAGAGATCACAAGTAGACAGGGAGGCAGGCAGAGAGAGAGGAGGGAGCAGGCTCCCTGCTGAGCAGAGAGCCTGATGTGGGACTCGATCCCAGGGCCCTGAGATCATGACCCCAGCCGAAGGCAGCGGCTTAACCCACTGAGCCACCCAGGCACCCGGGAGAGTAAATGATTTTTAGGAAAGATGAATGGGCTCTTAGAAGAACAGATGGGAGGTATGACAGTTTGTGACAAAGGTTGGGTGTGGTATTGAGTTCTAGTCTCCCTTCCTGTGACGAGTCAATCATTCTTGGTTGGTGAAACTCTTGGGGAGGGTATTTATGAAATTGAGTTCCTTTTGGAGGATCTGTCTTAAGGCAGGTAAGAGGAGTTCAGAGAAATCCTCTCTCCATATTTGCTGTTTTTCAAATGCCTATAGCTTAAAAAAAAAAATCAACCTACCAACCCAAATTTCAGTGTGAGATAAAATGATAACCTAAAAATATTTATTTATTTATTTAAAATATTTTATTTATTTATTTATTTGACAGAGATTGCAAGTAAGCAGAGAGGCAGGCAGAGAGAGAGAGGGGAAAGAAGGCTCCCTGCTGAGCAGAAAGCCCGATGTGGGGCTCCATCCCAGGACCCTGAGATCATGACCTGAGCTGAAGGCAGAGGCTTAACCCACTGAGCCACTCAGGCGTCCCGACCTAAAAATATTTAAAATCGCATCATATTAGACTATGCAAATTGAAGATCTAGTATAATTCAGAATGGTCTGATTCATACTGTATATACATGTTTAGAAGCTTGCTTTTCTACTACAATTGTCAGGTCTTTTTAGTAAGGAGAAACCTGTAGGAATAAGCATTTTTTTTTTTTTTCCAAACAGAAAACTTAAGGAATTTAGGATTACTTCTAGGGGCACCTGGGTCGCTCAGTCATTAAGCATCTGCCTTCAGCTCAGGTCATGATCCCAGAGTCTTGGCATGGAGCCGCTCATGGAGACCCTCATGGAGCCCCCCACTCTGCGGAAAGCCTGTTCTGCTTCTTCCACTCCCCCTGCTTGTATTCCCTCTCTCTCTGTCTGTCTCTCTCTGTCAAATAAATAAAATCTTAAAAAAAAAAATTCAGCATTACTACTATATATCTCTAAGTTCTAGATTCAATTATTCTTTGAAAAAATTTTTTAAAAGTTTGTTTATTTATTGATGTAATATCTACACCCAGTGTGGGGCTTGAACCCATGGCCCCAAGATAAGGAGTTGCATGCAAGTTCTTCCAAGTGAGCCAGCTGGCACCCCTATTTTTTGAATTATTTAATTTCAATTAGCCTAATGCAATTTAATTATTATATGTTTAAGGAAAATATATATAGAAACCATACACATGATTTAGGTTCTGAATTTATTTTTTTCATAAATTTAGCTTCTTTTCTATATTATAATATAACATAGTTTTGTATTATATGTTCTGCTTTAAAATACTGAGCTAAATTTCACTTAGAGGGGCACCTTGGTGGCTCAGTCAGTTAAGAGTCTGCCTTCAGCTCAAGTCATGATACCAGGGTCCTGAGATGGAGCTCCGCACTGGGCTCCCTGCTCAGTGGGGAGCCTGCTTCTCCCTCTCCCTCTGTCCACTCCCTGTTAGTGTGCTTGCTCTCTCTCTCAAATAAATACAAATCTTAAAAAAAAAAATTTCCACTTAGAAATAACCTACCATCGCCTGGGTGGCTCAGTCGGTTAAGTGACTGCCTTCAGCTCAGGTCATGATCCCGGAGTCCTGGGATCGAGTCCCGCATCGGGCTCCCAACTCCACGGGGAGTCTGCTTCTCCCTCTCACCTTCTCCTCGCTCATGCTCTCTCTCACTGTCTCTCTCTCAAATAAATAAATAAAATCTTAAAAAAAAAAAAAAAGAAATAGCCTACCATCACTTCCTACCAATTCAGTTAGGTATTAAATAAATTCTCTGGTTCATCTGTAATCCTCTTTTGGATGTTGACACCTAAGAAATCCCACATTAGTATCTGTTGAATACTGAAAATTATTTCTAGGGATGCCTGGGTGGCTCAGTCGGTTAAGCTGCTGCCTTCGGCTCAGGTCATGATCTCAGGATCCTGGGATCAAGCCCTGCATCATGTTCCTTGCTCACAGGGGAGCCTGCTTTACCCTATCCACCCCACTTGTGCTCTTTCTCACAAATAAATAAATAAAATCTTTAAAAAAAATTATTTCTAGAGACCATGTAATGGTCAATATAAACAATCCATAACCAAGAAAGAATATATTAGAAATAAGATTGTTACTCCAGAGGGAAAATATTAGGAAGAACATTTGGCGTGCTTCCTTATCGAATGTGTATTTGGGATTTGTGTGAACATTTTATAACTTCTAACGTAATCACCTCAATAAATATTTTTACTTTTTGAGAACCACTTGCAGCGAAATTTGAAAAGCAAGTGAACAACCATCCTATGGGATAAAAAGATTATTTTAGGGAATCTAGGGAGTAAAAGATTAAAGGGAATCTAAAGATTCTAGGGAAGTGGAGAATTTAATATGAAAGGGGACTCCCTATACTATCTTTGAGCTTCTCAAAGTTACTTGTCTTCTCAACTTCTATTACCACCCAATCACAGTATTTTCCCTTAAATAGCCGCTCAAGTCCCCACGTCCTCTGACTGTCACCTTCCCCAACCTCCCTCCTTGTTTAAAGCATCTTCTGCTGCTGGCAACTGATTCATATTGACAAAGCACTTCCGTGTTTTCTGTTGTTTCTCTGGCCGGTTTTGTCGTCCGTAAAATTAGCAGTGGTACTTTAATAGCTCTAAGTGTTACAATTCTAGGTGACTTGCCACGGAGCTCTGAGCGCGGCTCCCCAGTGGGTCACAGGTGTAACTCGCAAAGCTGGGCTCATCCTCAGTCTCCGGCAGAAACTGGCCTTGTTGCTCGCTCGTCTGAGTCGCCAACTGACCTTCCCTGCCCAGTCCGGCACCAGTATCTTCCTAAAAGCCATCACACGCGAGCTCCCTGGAGCAACGCTGACCTCTCTCCCTGCGTCCTCCGAGCACCCCCAGACCCAAGTAGCCCGGAATCGGAAAGAACGAGAACTGAATGTAGGCGCTATCTTCCCAAGAGCCAAGAGTAATGGGACTGATTTTTAACTGGAAGCCGCAAGCAGAGAGCACCCCCCCCCCCAATGCCATTCCTTCCCCGAGCCCGAGGTTAGACGCTCTCTCTTTACCCAGGGACCACCGAGCTCACCCCAGAGGGCAGCCTCCGCGGACGCCAGGATCGGCCGGCGCGCACTCCCGAACAGCTGCAGCGGCAGCACCATCGCCAGCTCTCGCCCACCGGGCCCCAGACTTCCTCCTCTGGCTCCTCCTCCTTCTTCTTCTCCGCGGCACCGCCCTCCCCCCCGCCCCCGGCCCCTGCCCAGCGACAGGCTCTTGAGCGCCCGCCGGCCGGGTGCTGGCCAAAGCCGGGAGTGCTACAAGGAGTGATCGCGGAGGGAACCGTACCCTACTCTGGAACTTCAAATTGGAAAGTAACTCGAGAGTTGGGGCGCGCCTGGGTGGCTCAGTCGGTTGGGTGTCTGCTTTTGCCTCCGGTCATGGTCATGATCCCAGCGTCCTGGGATGGAGCCGTTTTTGGGGCTCCGGGCTCCGCGGGAAGCCTGCTTCTGCCTCTCTCTCTGCTTGTGAGACCCCCCCCCCCCCGTCAAGTAAATAAATAAAATCTTTAAAAAAGAAACAGAGTTGAGGCGTCGAAATTTAAATATTTAAAGTAAACAAATTTTTCCAACTTACTTTATAATGGGATTCTTATTGATTAATTTAAAGGGAACTACATGGACGCTTTTCTAAGAACTGCTCTTAACTCCAATAGCTGGTTCAACTAATGTCAGTATTAAAATAATCTCATGCGATCATCTTTCCCCCACAACTCTGATATTTGACTAAAATTGACCACAGCTTGCTGGAGTTAGGTCCAACTATTTTATAAAATGCGTTAGTGTGCAATTGCTACTGTAACAAATTACCACAAATTTACTGGCTTCAAACAATATAAATGTATTATGTACAGTTCTGCAGGTGTCAGCAAGCCTGTGTTCCTTCTGAAGGCTCTAGGCAGAATGTCTTTTCTTGCCTTTTTCATCTACTAGAAGCTGCTGGCATTCCTTGGCCAGTGGTCCCCTTCCCCATTTTCAAAGCCAGCAACTAGCATCTTCAAATCTCTAACTCTGACCTCTGCTTCTGTTGTTGCATCCCTTACTCTTCCTCTGACCCTCATGCCTCCCTTTTATAAAGACCTTTGTGATAACTTGGGCTGCTTGGGTGATGCAGGATAATTTTCCTATCTCAAGATCCTTAATTTAATCATATCTGCAATGTCCTTTTGCCATGTAATGTAACATAGTCACACGTTCCAGGAATTAGAACACCCTGGGAGTGGGGAGTGTTGTTCAGCTTACCACATGAAGTTTATTATTGGGATGCCTGGGTGGCTCAGTGGGTTGAGGCTCTGCCTTTGGCTCCGGTCATGGTCTCGGGGTCCTGGGATCCAGCCCGACATCACATCAGGATCTCTGCTCGACGGGGAGCCTGCTTCCTCCTCTCTCTCTCTGCCTGCCTCTCTGCCTACTTGTGATCTCTGTCTGTCAAATGAATAAATAAAATCTTTTTTAAAAAAGTTTATTATTACTGTGGTTCATTTCCTTATTTTAAATTTATTCTCAATTTGGTCCCCCAATATTATGAAAGTTGTGTTTAACTGCAAATTAATTTACAATGGAAATTTTTAAAAATTAACTTCTAAATGATATTATTAAAGTGTGTGTCCAAGGAGTAATTTCATTAAGCAGTCTAAAATTATTCTGTTTTCAATAATTAAACAATTAATAGCACCACTTCAAATTTCAATGCCAGTGCCATCACTTACCATTATGTTTCTCCAAATTATTTGGAGTTTTGCTATAGTTTCTATATGATCTATGTTGTGGATTAATTTTGAATTAAAATGTCATTATATGTTGCAAATTCATGTACTTCCCATGGCATCCCAAAGCTGTCTTGAATACATAAAAACCACAGGTAGTCTGAACACAGATATGGAAACAATGAAACAAAGTGTTTGACCTCAATAACTCACATTCAATTTGATTTATACTTTCGCAACAGCACATATCATGAAACAATTTTTTTCCCAATGTTCATGACTAAGTATTTGAGATATATTTTTCTGCAGGATTTTTTCTCTCAAAAGGTTAATAGCTCCTCCCTTACCTAGCACAGTGCCAGACTTAGTTTATTTAAGAGTTCTCATAGCAAAAATTCTTGTCAAGAGAGAGCCTTGATTATTTTTCCTTGGGCAAGTGTCCAAGTTCTTCTTTCAGAGAAGAGTCAGGAAGGCTTAAAGTGAGATGAAAGGGAGAAAAATAGTTTAACTTTTCTAGGAAAGTTCTACCAGTCCTGAGTTAATATGCACCATCAATTCTCCAACAACTCCTTTTATTTCTTGGCATAATGCAAGTGAAAGGCAACTTGAAAGGAGGCGGCGATTTTCCCCATTTCTTCCTAAGTCACATCAAGCCTCCAGATATTTGACAAATCAAATGAAGATTAGGAAATATTTTTCCTGCAGCTTTTTTTTTTTTTTTTAAGTGTTTCTATCAGGGGCGCCTGGGTGGCTCAGTGGGTTAGGCTGCTGCCTTCCGCTCAGGTCATGATCTCAGGGTCCTGGGATCGAGTCCCGCATCGGGCTCTCTACTCAGTGGGGAGCCTGTTTCCCTCTCTCTCTTTCTGCCTGCCTCTCTGTCTACTGTGATTTCTCTCTGTCAAATAAATAAACAAAATATTTAAGGAAAAAAAAGTGTTTCTATCAAAACTTAAAATAACTATCTGTTGACTCAGCATTTCCATTGCTGTCTACTAATGATTATTTGCACAAGTAGGCAAAGATAAGGATAAAGGTACATTAACAGAAAACTGATTGGGGAAAAAATGATACATCCATTCTAAGTTTAAGCAACTAGACAAAAGAATGAGTCTTATATAGGTTTATGTCAAAAATATACTGTCAAGTGAAAAACATCAAGTTGTAAAATAGAATGTAGACAGCTAGAAATCAAGATAGCTTTGGAATTTTATCATTTCCAAGAAAAATTGTATGGTGTTTGCATAATTGCTGTTTCTTTCCCCCTTTTAAAAAAAATATTTTATTTATTTATTTGACAGAGAGAGAGATCACAAGTAGGCAGAGAGGCAGGCAGAGAGAGGAGGAAGCAGAGAGCCTGATGCCCGGCTTGATCCTAGGACCCTGAGATCATGAACTGAGCCAAAGACAGAGGCTCAAGCCACTGAGCCACCCAGGCACCCCATCTTTCCTTTTGAGAGAGAGCTAGCACGAACAGGAGAGGGTGAAAGGGAGAGGGGCAGACAGAGATGGAGAAGCAGACTCCCTACTGAACTGGGAGCCTGAGCCACCCAGGAGCCACCAGGAACCCCTAATTCTTAAATTTCTTTGTTCTAATTCAGTCCCCCTTTTTTTTTTTTAATTTATTTATTTATTTGAGAGAGAGAGAGAGAGAGAGACAGTGAGAGAGAGCATGAGTGAGGAGAAGGTCAGAGGGAGAAGCAGACTCCCCGCGGAGCTGGGAGCCCGATGCGGGACTCGATCCCGGGACTCCAGGATCATGACCTGAGCCGAAGGCAGTCGCTTAACCAACTGAGCCACCCAGGCGCCCCAGTCCCCCCCTTTTTCTTTTTAAACTGTAAATTGGGAGTCCAGTATATGATACATTTTTAAAAACCCCATTTACACCAATGCAGTTTAGTTTGGAAATTTAGATTTATGCAGGTTTGCATATCTTCTTTTCCTCCAAGTTCTGTTTCAAATCTGATGTTAAAATAAATAAAAACTTTGATTTGTGATGTAGACAGTTTTGACTTAACAATTACACCACAGTACGACCTGTTCTTATTTGGGGAATTTTTTTTCCCCTAAAGAAAAAAATTCCCCTACTCCAAAACATGAGTAGTAGTGATCCCTATACCCAGCACCTTAACAGGCAAATTTGTACTTAGTTACATTTGGAAACTAATGGGTGGTTTCCATAAATACAATGTAAACACCTAGTGACCTCCTTTGCCAAGTTCTGTACATAGAAGTAATGCTAACTATTTTGTAAGAAATTAATTAGAGATTTTAAGAGAAAAACCAGAGGTTTTTTTTTTTTTTTTTTTTTTTAACCTTTGGTATCTTGGACTCTTAACCCAAGGTTCTATCGTCAGGCCACCTGTCTCCTGGTTGAAGAGTTGTGAAGGATTACAAAGCTCTTAGGACTCACGCATAACTAGAGTGGATGTTTGCAACATCATTAAAATATTTTCAAAACGATTATTTTTACTAAACATATGCAGTGTGCAGATCACTTTAACGGATAATCGAGCTTCGAAGAACTATAGGTGAAGGTCAAGAAATTTCCTGTCTCGGTAAGTAAGCGAGGACAGGTAAGCCGATAATAATGAAAAAAAAAAAAAAAAAAGGCGAGACAACATACGACAAATGTCAGATGTGATTTTAGTGCAGTGTGACAGAGAGAAGTCGGAAGCTATCCCTTCAGGCCCTCAGCAACAAGTGGGACTTAAGCCCGACTCCGGGAAGCCCTTAAACTGCTCACACCCGAACACTATCGGGACGCAGCGGGGAGTTCATTGCGGTTATCCTCGGATTAGCCGGCCTACGGGGCTCTGCAGATCCACAGAACGCAGGCGCGGCGCGACCTGCCCCGCAGGGTCCACGCCCCACTCCCGGGCGCAGCGGCGAGGGACCGCGTCAAACCCCGCCCCGGCCGCGGGGCTGGCACACGAGGCCCCGCCCCTGCCGACCGGGAGGTCAGCCGCGCATGCGCAGTCTCTTCTGGTTCTAGACCCGGCGGCTCGGCCCGGCGTGGTGAGTCCGGACTGAGGGGCTAGGGTCGTCGTAGTGTCTCGGTCATCGCTTCCTTTACCCCAGCCCCCTGTGGCAGGACAGGCCTGGGAGAGAGGCCTCTTACGCGCCCCCGTCTTGCCGATCCCGGGGGTTCCCGGCGGTCACCGAGGGCCGCTTGAGTGCGGCCCGGTTGGGCGCCGGCGGCGGAGCCGGGTGGTTTGGGCGGGAGGGGTTCGCAGGGAGGGGCCCGAGTCTCCGCTGTATCTGGAAGCAGGCGCTCCCCCGACACCCTTCCCGCCTTCCTCCCGCGCGCTCTCCTCACTACCCATTTTCTCTTGAGAAACTTGGGGTGCTGTTGTTAGTGACTGGAGGGTAGTGTTTGGAGCCCTGGAGAAGGGCTGCTGGGGTCCAGGTCTCCATCCACCTCTTACTGGCTCCGGAACCAGAGAAGTCACTTAACCTCTGTGGCTCTCAGGTTCAAGTGTGAACTGGGGGCAGTCATAGGAACCTGTCTCACAAGGTGGTTGTAGAACTACGTGAGGAAGTACCCTTGAGTGCTGAGAGCCGAGCGTGATGCACGGCCAAAGTGTGCAAGTGCTGTTCATCTTTTTGAGCCTGGTACTAAACGGAGAGTGTGTCCTCCTCCTCTGCACGGCGAAAATAATTGCCCAAGAGTCCAAGGGTAGGGAAAAAAGATTTTTTTTCTTGAGACTGTGGGCTTTTGTTTGTATAGGATGTTTAAAAAAAAAAAATCAAACATTTCTAAACAACTTAGTTGCGCATCCTACTGCAGAGAAAGGACAGATGTTAGAGTAATACTGAAATTGAAAAATGAAAAGTTTTGTTTGGGAAACCGCGTGAAAAAAAGGGCCAGAACTTACTTGTCCTGAAAAGAGTTAACATATCAGGCCTGAGACTGCTCTCCTTAGAAAGGCCTGCTTGCTTGTTTGGCCTCTGGAAACAAAATAGTTCATGCAGTCCCCTGTGGTTTATGCCCAAGTTAGCAGCCTCCAGGAAAACCCCAGTCCTGTGAGTCTGTGATGGGCTACCCTGGGCAGAAACATTGCACTGACCTTGCTGGACTTTCCTTTTTGGGAGGAAGAGTGTGCTCTGTTTGACCCGTTCTGGGAGGAAGAGAACACAAGGAAGCCTGCACATAGATTCCTGCAAACTTCATTTGTGTCTTTCCATTATGCTCAGGTTGTATGTCCATACTCCAGTGCCCTAATAAAAGTTAGCCTTGAGTGCAACTACGTGCTGAGTCCTGGAAGTCCTTCCAGTGAATCTCCAAATGTGACGGTGGTCTTGAAACTCCCCACACACAATATTGGTGATAGAAAGTACTTGAAGCTCTAGTAATTAGATTTTAATTTTGTCTCTTTTTGACTAAAAAAGGAGAGAAAAAGCTATACAGATAAGTGATTGCTAAATAGTGGGTTACCATCCAAAATTATTTCTCTGTTTAGACATATTGCAGGTCTTAGAAAAATCACTGGAAATTGACTGCATTGCCAAGTGGAAGTTTGAGTCACTGTCTTTTACAGACTTTTTATAGATTGTGGTCTAATACCTTTTCTTTTTGTTATTCTGCAAGCAGTATCTATGGGTTGATGTCTGTCTTTATCAAAATAAGGATGTCTGGGAAGCTGGGGAAAGGTGTGGCCGGTTTCTCGTGGCCCATTTTTCCTGGATTTTTTTTTTTTTAATTATGCCTGCATTTTCAGGACATCCAGTTGAAATAGTTGGAGGTAAGTCTATAAATTTGGGGTTGGAAAGAGGAGATTGCCTTCTGATTATATCTTTTTTCCCCTCGATAAAGTAGAAGACTAGATACTATTTTGAGAAGAAGGGAGATGGAGGAGTTAGAGGTTTAGAAGAGTGAGAAAGGTTTCAAATGGCTGTGTGAGGAGTAGGTAAATAGGTTTTCCAGGAAGTGTAGTAAATAATGTCATGTCTCGATCCATTTGAGATTGAGATTTTGATTATGAATTTAGCGGACCCAGTCACCTTTCTTACAAGATTTTCTCCAGCTTGTTTGGATGCAGACATAGAGAAAGTGGTTAATTGGATTCATTTAGGTTTGGGGTTCTGTTAGGGGGGTTTTGTGGTAGTCCCTTAGGCTGGGCACACATATTTTGTTCTTTCTGTATACATGGTAAGGTTACACTCTTTGTACACACCCCCCATCCCACTCCCTTACCCGCATGTCTGCTCGAAGTTGGATGTGTCGAATGACTTGCTTGGGCTGGTAAAATACAAGCAGACGTGACATACATCATTTCCAAGTGGAGCTTTAAGAACCAGCACTCCATTTGCTACTTCCCCATCTCTGCCTTGCTATAGTGATCATCTCACTTGGTGAGATGTCGCCTCTTGCCAGCCTGGGCACCAAAGGTGAACAGGAGTTGCTGAAGAGGCGAAGCTGGAAGAACTTGAATGTGTGATTAGAACTTGAATGAATGATTTTGCAAGGTACAGCTATAGGGGTTTATAGCTAATAATATAACTATGTATATATATATATATAGTTATACAGAGGAAGTTATAGTGGAAGTTTGGGGGGAGAAGGCAATCAGAAATGAAGTGCTCAAGGAACTCAGAGCCCTTGTGCGTCTCTCACCCTGAAGGCCATAGTTTGTTGCAGTTCCGTTCAAGAGTGATGACCTCTGGAGTTAAAGAAATGGCTCTTAAAATGGTATACTAAAAAGCTCCCTTATGTGGAATATGGTATAACTGGGTCAAGACTCAGAATTTATTTTTTTATTCATTTTTGAAGATTTATTTATTTTAGAGAGAGAATGTGTGTGCGCATGAGCACAGGGAGGGGCCGAGAAAGAGGGAGAAAACCTCAGACTTTCCACGGATTGAGGAGCCCAGCAGGGGGCTCCATCTCATGACCCTGAGATCATGACCTCAGCCAAAATCAAGAATTGGCCGCTTAACCGAGTGAGCCACCCAGGCACTCCAAGATTCAGAATTTATTATTGAGTTGAAAGATTCTTCCACCTTGATCAATAAAAGCAAATAAACAAATAGCCACGAAAATTACAGTGTAGCTTAACCATAGAACAGATGATATTAGGTAGGATTTAGGCTGAGCTTTAACAGAGACTCCAAATACAGTGATTTTTTAAAAATGCTTAATTTTTTATCTAAAATCTTAACAATTAACTTCGGATTTTTAAAAAATATAAAGGACAGAGATAAGTAAGACCTTGGAGACAAGTGTGGGACATTATACAATGTTGCTATTGAAAGTGTGGTCTGTGAAAAAAAAGAAAGTTGTGGTCTGTGGGGGCACCTGAATGGCTGAGTTGGTTGAGCGTCTGACTCTTGGTTTCAGCTTGGGTCATAATCTCAGGATCCTGAGATCAAACCCCCTGTTGGGTTCCTCACTCTGTGGGGATTTTGCTTGAGATTCTTTCCCTCTACCTCTCCCTCTGCTCCTCCCCATGGTCATCTGCATGCTCTCTCTCTAAAATAAATCTTAAGAAAACAAAACAAAATAAACACACCTGGTCTTTGGACCCACAGCAATGGCTTACCATTGGGAGCTTGTTAGACAGGCAGAACCTCAGGGCCTGTGCAAGACTTGTTGAATCAAAATCCACATTTTTACAAGATCTTTAAGGCGACTCATATGCGCTGTCCTGATTCTTAAAAAAGCCAGTGTCTTAGGAAAGTGTAAGATGGGAAGAATACTTGTGGATTAAAAGATGTGAACAGTTAGCATGACATAACCAATACAAAGTGCAAACCTTGACTGAATCTTGATTTTTAGAAGACAAGTATGGAAGACAATTTGGAGTCAGCTGAAGAGGTTAGAATATGATGGAACCTCAGAATGGGGAATTACTGTTAATTTTCTTAGATGTAATAATTATGTGGCTATATATAGGAAAATGTTGTTATTCTTAAAAAGGATACAAACTCTTTGCAACTTTGAAATAGTTCAGCAAAAACAAAAATATACTCACATGTGTGTATCTCTCTCTCTGTCTCTCTCTGTACACACTGATACTTAGGTAAAACAAATGGGGCAGATGTTCTAGATGTGGAATGTAGGTAGTAAGTATATGGGTGTTTATTATATTGGTCTTTTACCTTTTCTGGAAGTTTAAATTTTTTCATAATAAAAACGTGGGGGAAAACCCCACAAAAAATGCAGTGTAGCTTAAAACAATTTCTGTCAGTCATTGCTAGGTCATATGGTGCAGGTAGAAGGGCTCTGTTGTGCTGGGCACTTGGCTTCCGTCCCTGGTCCATTATGGCTTTTCCAACTTCTGTTTCCTAGCTAGTGGGACAGGAGAAGAGGCAAGGGGACCACATGACCCAGAAGGAGCACTTATTCCCTTGATCAAACCTTTTTTTTTTTTTTTTTTTCCATCCACCTGGACATCATGTATCTGGGGAGTAATTGGTAAAAGTCAAATGTAATGTGCATGTGTATATTGGTTTATAAAGATGTCTTTGGTTTCATCTGATGTTCTCTTCTTCTTTTGATGTACTGGGGCCCAACTAAAACTGAAGTCATTTCTACTTTAATATACATTAAGTAAGGGTGCCTGGGTGGCTCAGTGGGTTAAGCCTCTGCCTTTGGCTCAGGTCATGATCCCAGGGTCCTGGGATGGAGGCCCATGTTGGGCTCTCTGCTCAGCAGGGAGCCTGCTTCCCTCTCTCTCTGCCTGCCTCTCTGCCTACTTATGATCTCTCTCTCTGTCAAATAAATAAATAAAATATTAAAAAAATATATACATTAAGTAATATACCTAAAATTTTAATTTTGAGGATTAAAGTGTACTCATTTCCCCCTACCCCCAGCCTTTTCAGTAAGTAACAGATGCGGGTGAAAGAGCCTTCCAGACCTTTGCCTGAGAAAGCCAAAAGAAGTAAAAGGCCTGCTCTACCTCATGATGAAGACTCTTCAGACGACATTGCTGGTAAATTATGACCTCTGGCATCCTGAATAGTGTTGTGGAAAATAACCATGTTTTTAATCAATAAGTCTTTTGCTCTTTATTTCCACTATTTTCTGCATGAACTGTAAAATCAGCTTGTCTAGTTCCAAAACATCTGGGTGATGTTTTTATTGAGATTTCGTTTAGTTTATAAAGTAACTTAGAATTGGCATCTTTTTGTTGTTTTCTGTTTCTCATGACCTGTTAAGGCCAGGCCTTCAAGCCTGGGGGGTAACTGGGGAGTTGCTGGCCTCAGGCTCACTTTTCTCTTGAGCTTCATGCCTTCTGTTTCAGCTTTTCTGAGATTTTCCCCTACTTTCTCATAGCTCTCCATTTAAAAAGATGTTTTTAATTTTTATTTCCACTTTTAAGTATTTTTAACTTGGATAATGTTTCAGGATAGGTTGTTGTATTGAGGGAAGTCTGAATTCTATCTTTAAGCATTTGTTTCATTCTGTGAATATGATTTTTTTCTCAGGGATTCTGATGATTCTTATGTTAGCTCTTCCCTGCCTGTCTTCTAGTTATTTTTTCTCAAATCCTCTGAAACTCCTACTTCCTTTTCATTTTGCTTGCTCTTTTCCTTTTTATCTTTTACAGTGTTTTCTGTACTGCACCCTTTTTAGTTTTATCATCCTTTTTGTGGTTTTATTTATTTGTTCTTCCATTTCTATCCTGAGCTCTACCAGTCACTTCCCACTGTTTTGCCACCTCATGCGGGAACATTTGCTTCTTCTGTTTTGTATTTTTGTTTCATGGCGGTGATTTCTGTGCCATTTGTTTTTCCTTTTTTTTTATATTGGATAGAAATTGTGGCTTTAATTTTTCCTTGATTTCTCATTCTTTGATGTAGGGTTGCCTTTCTTGGACCAGGTAGTTTTAGAATATTTGTGTAAGGAGGAGGGCCATAGCACTGTCGAGACCAACTGGAGTTTTGAGTGTGAGCTCAGTTAGCCTGTATTTCTTTCCACCCAACAGGGTTATGCAGCCCTGAGGTTTTTTCCAGAATTTCAAGATCTCTTCTCCCCTCCTGCTTGCAGAGACAAGACTGTTTCTGACAAATTTGGCTTCTTTGTTTCTCACTTAGTGAATTAGAAATTGCCTTCTTTTGCTTCTTAAAACAAAACTGGCTCTAGGGGCTCTGCTGCCAGAGTTGTTGCAGCCCCGAGAGTTAGGTTTCATTCTGCATCTGCAAAGCATGCGGGGTTCTCTGTGAGACTACCGCTGCAGTGTGCTCTCTGCTTCCTTCTGTATGCACTCCTGTTTGAGCTCTGCTGTGTTGTGCGGGGAGGGCCCTGCCACTGGATTTATGACATGGGGCTTCAGAAAATGAACTGGGCATCTTTGTTTTCTACTCTTGTTGACCTTGGACAATTTCTGGGAGGAAAATGGGGAAGTGTTGATTTTATTTTTTATTTTATTTAATTTAAAGATTTTACTTATTTATTTGAGAGAGAATGAGAGAGCGAGCGAGCACGAGAAGATGAGGGTCAGAGGGAGAAGCAGACTCCCTGCTGAGCAGAGATCCTGATCTGGGGCTCAATCCTAGGACTCCAGGATCATGACCTGAGCCGAAGGTGGTCGCTTAACCAACTGAGCCACCCACCTGTTGACTTTAGACTATCATTTGTAAACTGGAGGACTTTCCTGTAAAGTTTTTTAATATTTAAAGTGAAAAACATGGATTTTAATTTGTTGTTTTTTATTTGTTTATGTGAAACAACTCTAGACTTTAATGTATTTATATATTTTATTCAGGAATCTCAAGAAGACTTATTTGGCAGATGAAATTTACACAGTTGTATGATTAAAGAAATTACAGAAGACTGAGGAAATTTTTTTAGCACAGAAAATTTTTTTACATCCCCCCCCAAAAGACTGTGAATATTATTTAAACACTGGTTAACTCTTGTAAGAAAACATAAAACTTTGAAATTTACTTATAAAAAGTATGTGTGGTTGAGACATTTAAAAGCTCATAGAGTTAATTTGGACTCCTAGAACCTTTTTATCATGAATTCACTTGTCTCTGGATTCATTAACTATTTCAGTTTTGTAAGTCTGAATGGTAGACTCAGAGAATAGTTAAGTTGTGTCCTGGCCAGATCCAACCCCAGAGATGATATAGAAAGTGTATGGAATGATTTCTAGCCTTAGAAATTTAAAATATAAAAAACTCAAAGCATTGATATCTAGTAACCCACTTCTAGGTCCTGTATTTGTGTGGTCATCTATCAGTCTTCCTCAGAACACCCCTTTCTTTAATGGCATGTGTCCTTGCTTTTCAAATATAGGACTCTGGAATTCCTCCTTTTGTGTCTATTCTTATAACTTGCTTTTGGTATAAAATTAGAAGTCCTAATCTTTCACCAGATTTACACATTATTTTTGTTGAAATTATATTTTATAATAAGTCACTTGTCAGGAGTCACATACTTAGGCTTCAGGATGAAGAGAACTAATGCTTCATCTCTCGCTAGTTAACTAATAGGTGAAAAGGAGTGCTGTGCACTTGGGAAGGAAAGTGGAAAAAGTTGAAACGTACATACTCCTGCTTCCCTCTTCAAGTTACTCAGTCTTTCCTTTGTTGCTTACTTTTGGTGGATAGTTGTAGTTCTGGTGTTTGAAATAGTTGAGGTGGAAGAATAGAAGTGTTCAGGTATTTGGGAGAAGTGGAAATGTCATTGTGTCCTTGGGAGAAGAACACGATTATCTGAAGAAATAAAAACATATTAGTTGATTTAGTACAGTTGTCTCCACACAGTGCACCCAGTGGGACTCTGTAAGGACCATGCAGAGTCACTTGTTATTTGGAAATATTCATTAAGGAGAATTCTTGTTCCTGTAAATTATGCCATTGTTTGTTCCTCTTTCTCCTTTCTCTCAATAGTGATGAAAATAGCATCTGAGCAGAGGTAGGCTCTGTGAAAAGATTTTGTGTGTATATTTTATTTATTTATTTATTTATTCAAAGATTTTATTTGACAGAGAGATCACAAGTAGGCAGAGAGGCAGGCAGAGAGAGAGGGAGAAGCAGGGTCCCTGCTGAGCAGAGAGCCCGATGTGGGGCTCGATCCCAGGACCCTGAGATCATGACCTGAGTTGAAGGCAGAGGCTAAACCCACTGAGCCACCCAGGTGCCCCTTTGTGTGTATATTTTAATGAGAAGGAAAATATTCAAAATGCTTGACCTGCTCACTAATAATCTATTTATTTATTTATTTATTTAACTCTTTATTTTTAAACTAATTTTTGAATTAATAGGAAGGTTCAAAGAGATATACAAGGGGGTCCCATTCACCCTTCACCCAACATCTGGTTGGGTGATTAACATCTGATTTAACATCTGGTATTTCTTTTCTTTTTTTTTTTTTTTAAGATTTTATTTATTTATTTGACAGACAGAGGCTTTAACCCACTGAGCCACCCAGGCGCCCCAATATCTGGTATTTCTATAGTACAATGTTAACACCAGGAAAATGGCATCCGTACAATCCTTAGAACTTACTCTGATTTCACCAAGATATGCAAGACCTCGTGTGTGTGTGTGTGTGTGTGTGTGTATCTGTGTCTATGTGAGTGGGTATAACTCTGCACACTTTTATTACATGTGTAGTTTTGTATAACCGACAAACTGAGAGACTCGGCTGCCCCATCACCACCCCAAGGTTTACCTGTCTATAGACACACTCCCTGTTCTCCATCCATGGTCCCTGGCAACCACAAATTTGTTCTCCAAATCACCAATCATGTTATTTCACAAATACTTTATAAATGGTACCATACAGTATGTATCCTTTTGAGTTATTTTGTTTTTCGGATCTCTTTTCTTTTTAATTACAGCATTTTAATGCTACTGACTTTTGCTTACCGATGCTAGCTCTTTGGTTTAGCAAAGAAAATGTTCCCATTTTGTTTTGTCTCTTTCAGCAGGTTTCACTTGCCAGCATGTAAGTCATGCTATCAGTGTGAATCATGTGAAGAAAGCAATAGCTGAGAATGTGTTGTCAGTTTGCTCAGAATGTTTAAAAGAAAGAAGGTGCTGTGATGGGCGGCCAGTACTTCCCTCTGACATTTGGTTGTGCCTCAAGTGTGGTTTTCAGGTGAGAAAATTGATTTTTATCTGTGAGGTCGTCTTAAATATTTTTCTTAAATGCTTATTGTAAGTTGGACTATTGGTAATGTTTAGAACTTAAAATAAATTTATTCATGTTCAGATAGACTTCTCCAGGATTGAACTAAGAAACATTTGTTAAGGTAAAATAAAAGGTATATTATCTTCAGAAAGCAATCACGTGTGGTTTAGGAATACTTTGAAAGGGAATCCAACCTACTTGCAGTAGTTCTCATGTCTGGACCTGCCTTTACCTATTTGTATTTACTTAAGAAATAGATCCAAGATTTTTTTACATCTTACTAGATTAATTTTTTTTCTCTCAAAAGGATTCTTTTTTTTTAAAAAACAATTTTTTAACACCTTAGAAGCTAGTAATATCTGTAATATTTTTTGAATAACATTTAAGATGTCTATAATTCTTCTAAAATGAGAGGAATGCTTGTTACCTCACATAGTTCCTAAGTAAGAACCCTTCAGGATTAGTTAATTCAATGAAAAGAGCACTGAAAACTGAAATTTCTTCCATTTTTCTTTTGTCCACCTTCAATTTCATAGCTTTTTGTGGCCAAATATAGTTCATTTATTATATGTCATACAGCAAACCTCAAAGGCCAGAAAGAGGGCAAAAAGGACATCCCTTTCCTGTTTTTTGTTTTTCTTTTTAAATTATTTTTGTTAACATATAATGTATTATTTGCCCCAGGGGTACAGGTCTGTGAATCAACAGGCTTACGCATCTCACAGCACTCACCATAGCCCATACCCACCACAATGTCCATAACCCACCACCCTATCTCTAAGCCCCCACACCCCAGCAACCCTCAGTTTGTTTTGTGAGATTAAAAAACTTTTCCCAGAAACTTCTAGCAGACTGACCGTCATGTTGCATTGACCAGAACTGGAGCTCATTTCTTTACTTAGCTGGTGAGGGAGATTACTGTGATTGGTCTGAGTCTCATTAGTTGCCAGTGGGTTTGGGTGGAGGTGTGGACAGTATTAGAAAATGTGTTTATAGGAGGGGGTGGGGACTGATCTGCGAGGATGTTTGGTGCCCCACAGTGTGTAAGGAAGAGAGTATGTTCATTTTTTTTTTCAAGATTTTATTTATTTATTTGAAAGACAGAGATCACAAGTAGGCAGAGAGGCAGGCAGAGAGAGAGGGTGAAGCAAGCTCCCTGCTGAGCAGAGAACCCGATGCGGGACTCGATCCCAGGACGCTGGGATCATGACCTGAGCCGAAGGCAGAGGCTTAACCCACTGAGCCATCTAGGCGCCCCAGTTCATTTTTAAATAATAGGGAAATGAACTCGGCTCATGATTGTTTTAGGCAAATACTATATTATAAAAAGCAAGTTAGCCTCCTTGCAAGAAATTAAACTTAATGAGAATCTATATTATTTTCTGAAACTTTTCTCTCCTGCTTGAAATTAAAAACCAAAACTTTTCTAATCATGAGTATGATTTAAGTTTTGATTAATTTGAAACAAACTAATATGTAAATGATACAAATAGCATTCTGTTCATCTTTAGGGATGTGGTAGAAACTCAGAAGGCCATCATTCACTGAAGCACTACAAGAGTTGGAGAACAGAATCTCATTGTATTACAGTTAGTCTGAGCACATGGATTATATGGTAAGTTGGATTTTCTTACTGCTTGTGTCCATGACAAAAAAATATCATTTTCTTTGAGTTTTACAAGGTAAACTATTTAAAGATATTATACCCTCTTATGCTTTTTATCCTGAACAAAACCTGTGGAATACTTCAAGAAAATTCGCATTACCTGTGAATATAAAATTTAAATAAGGAATAATTTAGTCATCCCTCTACTTTTTTTTTTTTTTAAACATTTTCTTCATAGGATAAAGAAACGTTCTTCCTAGTTGATTTCTCATAATCAACTTGCTAAGACAGGAATTCCAGAGTACTAGGAAAGGAAAGTGCTTCAAAGCAGTGAGGTGGTTTGGTGATTCCCTGGAGGGGAAAGGGTAAGCCAGGTGATTCTACTGCTTAATCCTGGCTGGGAACAAAGTTCAGTTCCCTCCTTTTACATATAAGGACACTGAGTATCATTTACTTTTTTATAGTTACAAAGTAAACGTCCAGGCACTAAAACAAGTCTTTGATTCCCTAGTTTCTTACTAGCATGGCATGCTGGCTTCATTGGCATAAATGGATACTTCCCAGATGTTTTACCACAAAATTTTCTTTTTTAAATGTATATATGCATCTTTTTCAACAGAAATTTTCTAAAATTTTCAAAAGCTTTCAAGTTTTCCTTGAATGAATTTTCAGAGGTTTTCACAGAAATACTTTGTGTTTTTAACTTTGTGTTTTCACTTCTCAGATCTAAAATTAACGTAACAATATTTTGGCTTATAGAAGAAATCATCATCTTATAATATAAATTCATGACATGGGTCAGGTGTTGCTGCATTTGTGTTTTTGTTGTTCCTAAGTAATAATATTGGGGGGAATAAGGAAAGCATAGAGACAGATTACTATGTAAATGATACATTGGAGTAAGGGAGAGGAGGATGATGATGCCATAGTGTGGCAGCTGAAGAAATACTTCTCTGTAGCCTGAGTGGAGCAGTGGTCTCCAGCAATGGGGCCCATCACAATCTCCAGGAAGTCTTGTTAAAATAGACTGCTGGGCCTCAGACTAGAGATTCTGATTTAGTAGTTCTTGGGTGGGACCTAAGAATTGCATTTCTAACAAGTTCCTAGGATTGCCGATGCTGCTGGCCTGGGGACCACAGTTTGAGGACTGCACAAATAGAGGAAGGTGGAGGGAGAGTTGAGTGGCACCTGGTAGAATAGGCTTATTTCAAGTGAGTCTGTGTCAGAACTTCTGTTGTAGCTCTTAGGACCATAATAATGGTGTGAATCATGATGTAATTTCAGAAAAAAAACCCTCAAAAAACCAAAAAAACAAAGTACACAAAAACCAAAACAAGTTACTTAGCATAATAGTGTTGTTAGTTATAACTTTATTGATTTTGTAATTTTATTTTTATGCTTAATTATTTAATTTTGCTTTCATAGATATATAGACCTATAAGGACAATCAATTATTGATTATTTTGTGAGTAGACTGTTAAATATGTATAATAATGAAAATAATTTAAGTCATATTTGAGGAAAAAAATTTTAAAGGAAGAAATTCAAGCTGGTCATATGCATTTACAGAAACTTAGAGGTTGGGACTATTTTCTTTTTCCCATTTTCCCATCTAATTCTTTTTTTTTTTTTTAAGTTTTTTTGTTTTTTATTTGACAGACAGAGATCACAAGTAGGCAGAGAGGCAGGCAGAGAGAGAGGGTGAAGCAGGATCCCCGCTGAGCAGAGAGCCCGACTCGGGGCTTGATCCCAGGACCCTGGGATCATGACCCAAGCCCAAGGCAGACGCTTTAACCCACTGAGCCATCCAGGCGCCCCCCCCCCCATCTAATTCTTAAACCTTAAAAAGTTTAATAATTTTTGGGGTGCCTGCATGGCTCAGTCACTTAAGCGTCTGCCCTTGGCTCAGGTCATGATCTCAGGGTCCTGGGTCCTGGGTCCCACAGGACTCACATCAGGCTCCCTGCTCCTCAAGGAGTCTGCTTCTCCCTCTGTCCCTTCCCCCTTCTCACGTGCGTGCTCATATTCTCTCTCTCAAATAAATAAATAAAATCTTAAATAAATTTAACAATTTCAGTAGAAAATTTTACTAATTTCGATTAAAGGCCAACTTGAACTAGGAAAAAAAAAAACCTTGGAAACCCTAAAAAAGAAAGGAATGTGGTAGATTTGATTTAATTATGGCTAATAAAGTGTTGCTCAGGGCACCTGGGTTACTAAGTGGGTTAAGCCTCTGCCTTCGGCTCGGGTCGTGATCTCAGGGTTCTGGGATCGAGTCCTGAGTCGGGCTCTCTGCTCAGTGGGGAGCCCGCTTCCCCTCTCTCTCTGCCTGTCTCTCTGCCTACTTGTGATCTCTCTCTCTCTGTCGAATAAATAAATAAAATCTTAGAAAAAATAAAGTGTTGCTCAATAGTGGATTTAATGCTGCTTTAACAGGTAGTAATTACTAGCACAATGGCTTCTTACCTCTGACTTTCTTCAGAATCACAGAGGTGGAATTTGAAAAATCCATTGGTACCATTCATTGGTCCTCTATTAAATCAGGGCTTTCATATTGTTAAATTCCATACATGATTCTTACGCCTGACCGTGTTAAGAGGCACTGGTTTAGCACTTGAAGTTAACATAGAAGATGAGTGTTTTTATTTATCTTTTTACTTTTTTAGGTGAGTGCTTTTATTAAAGTACTTAAATCTTGGTTGAAAGGTATAGCATTTCCCCTATACTTTTATTACTTTACTGATTTGTGAGCCCTCTTGTGTCCTAGTTTCTCATCTGTAAAAAAGAAGTATTATACTTCTGGAGAGCTAATTATTTTAAAAATGATAATACTCTTTTGGCTATTGTGAGGAATTAAACCAGAAAATGCATGTAAGGCATTTACAGTAGTGCCTGACACAAGTAGAAGCTCAATTAAAATTTGTTTTGGTTATTTCTAATGGGAACAAGTAGAATTAATTCATGTTGAGCTGTCCTCTTTTCTCCAAATCCACTGCCATTGTATAGTTTTTATTTACATTTTCTTTTTTGTACACTTAAAGTGACAATATATTTTATAGCAAGTAAAAATTAAATTATAGCATCAGTAAAAATTTCTTGACATTTCAGTATTTTGCAAATGAGCAATTTTTATTATTTTTGGCAATAATTACATCAGTAAATTTTGAGGGTTTATAATAGTGTAAATCTGGTAACTACATTGTTTGAATTCCATCATGGTCTATTAGAAAAGATGTTCTGTGGCTTGTTTCCTTCACAGGTTTATCTATGTACCTGTGTATTTCCTTTTTTCTTTTCTTTTTAAGATTTCATTTATTTATTTGACAGAGAGATAGCACAAGTAAGCAGAGTGGCGGGCAGAGTGAGAGAGAGAAGCAGGCTCTCTGCTGAGCAGGGACCCGATTCGGGGCTCAATCCCAGGACCCTGGAATCATGACATGAGCTGAAGGCAGCCACTTAACCAACTGAGCCACCCAGGCACCCCATACGTGTATATTTCTGTATGCAAGGAATAAAGTAATATTTGTATTTTGTGTATGAGTAAATATTTGACTGAATTTTGAGTGCTGTTTAGAATAGGAACCCAGACCTAGTTTGTAGCCATTAATCTCAGGACCACTAGTAATAATAAGAAGATTGTGAATATGTAATGTGTTGGCATAACACTTAATATTTAGGGGCACCTGGGTGGCTCAGTGGGTTAAAGCCTCTGCCTTCGGCTCAGATCATGATCTCAGGGTCCTGGGATCGAGCCCTGCATCAGGCTCTCTGCTCAGCGGGGAGCCTGCTTTCCTCTCTCTCTCTGCCTGCCTCTCTGCCTACTTGTGATCTCTGTCTGTCAGATAAATGGACGAAATCTTTTAAAAAAAAATACAGATTGGATCACATCACTTCCCTGCTTAAAAAACTCCTCATGGATTTCTTTCCATTACACTTAGGATAAAGTACCGGAACTTTAATTTGAATGATAAGGCTCTGTATGAACTCTCTCCTGCTCATTTCTCTAGACTTACCTAATGCCTCACTCTATGTATATTACCCCCCATTTTATTTATTTATTTTTAAAAGATTTTATTTATTTACTGGACAGATAGAGATCACAGGTAGGCAGAGAGGCAGGCAGAGAGAGAGAGAGAGGAGGAAGCGGGTTCCCTGCTGAGCAGAGAGCCTGATGTGGGGCTCGATCCCAGGACCCTGGGATCATGACCTGAGCCGAAGGCAGAGGCTTTAACCCACTGAGCCACCCAGGGACCCCTACCTCCCCATTTTAAAGACAAGACTGGGTAAATATCAACTTTACTACTTTATTACCTGGTGTGAAAAATTATTGAAGATGATTTCATATTTACTTACATATTTATATTTTTTCAGGTGTTACGAATGTGATGAAAAATTATCTACACAGTGTAATAAGAAGGTTTTGGCTCAAACAGTTGATTTTCTCCAGAAGCATGTTTCTAAAACACAAACAGGTAAGTTAAGCAGTTGCTAAAGAAATTTGCATTAATGTATAATATTTTATATTTCATACAAAAAGTTTATAAGTTCATAAGTAGTACCTTAGATTTTACTGAGAGCTCTCCACACAAGTGCCATGCATTCTTAGGTAGTAATCTTGTGATGTTATGTTGTGTTGTATTTACGTAACTAATATGAGAAGCTAGAGAGGGTAGTGACTAGATTGTGGGCTTCTGAGTCAGACCAGTGCTGAGTTTGAATTCAGGCTCCACTTAAATTTCTTACTATCTGTGTGTCCTTTACTTCTTAGTTCGCTTACATTAAAAATTATGATGATAATTCCAATGTGTGCGGTTACTGTGAGCCTTAGAGATTATGTTTTCTGAAAATTTAGAAATGATGAATGTAAAAATGCTTGCATGGTGCCCAACACCTGTTTATGGAGTGCTATCTGTTCTTCGTTATGTAATCATAGTGTGGTTCTGACACTAACCACCAGGAGTTAGGCTAACCTTGCAGATTAAGGGCTTGCTTAGTCCAACTCAAGATTAAACTCACTTCGGACACCATCCTCAAGCTCCCGGGCTTTCAGGCTGTCCACATTTCTGACAAACTGGCTATAAATTTAGGGGTTCCCACTATCCTTCTTAGATTGAATAATTTACTAGAATGACTCAGAGAACTCAGGAAAGTCCTATAGTTAAAATTATAGTTTTATTATAACAGGAAAAAGATAGAAATTAGGACCAGCTAAAAGAATAGACACATAGGGCAAGAACTAGAAAAGTCCCAAACACAAATCTCCTGTATCTTCTTGTGGAGTCAGGACACATTACCCTCTCGGCACACTGATGTTTATCAGACACGCAAAGTATTGTTAACCAGGAAAGCTATCTGGAGCTGTGGTGTCCAGAGTTTTTAGTTGGTGTTTCATTGGATAGGTACCACTGCTGGAATCATTGGCCACATAGTTGAACTCAACTAGTTCATCTATGAAGAGTAGGTACCTCAGCTCTCTAATCACACGTTGGTCTTTCTGGCATGGCTAGCTGCCATCCTGAGTAATCTTATTAGCATAAATTGTCTAGGGGCCCACCAAGAATAAGAAAGACACTTCTGTCCCTCTGGAAATCCCAGGATATAGGGGTTACTTCTCAGGAACCTGGTTACTGAGAGGCCAAATCCTTTCTCATTCAATAGTAATGTATTATATATTATAAACTTCGTTAGTTATGTATGTTGTTGTCTAACATATAAACTATGTATAACACATGTTAATTTAAATGAAGAGTGTGTAGGGAAGCAGTTTCTTCATTCAGAAATATTAAGTGCCTACCACATGCTGGGTTTTATACTTTATTCAATATTAGTGATAAAACAAAAACCAGTTTTATATTGCCCTTTTGGAGTGCATAGTATAGTGGGAGAGACAGACCAAAAATATAGGTATGTGTTTCTGATGAGTGCAAAGGAAAGAAGAGATTGCAGGGATAGGTAATAATCTAGTGGTCACAGTGATCAAAAAAGGCCAGTATAGCTGGAGTGTTGGGAGAGAGTAGAACGAAATGAAGAAGTGAGTGGGGAAAGAAAATAAGTGAGAGTTCGTGAAGGATACTGTAAGGAATTCCGTGGTAAAGAATTTTTATTTTATTGGAAGTGTAATGGAAGCTATTAAAGTGTTTCGAGCAGGGGAGTCATGTCATTTCATCTTTTTAAAATAACATTACTCCGATTTCTGTATGGACTGTTGGAGTTGAGAGCAAAGGTAAGGAGATAATTAAGAAGGTTAGAGGAGGTTGTTGTGGTAGGGCAAATGAGGAACCAGGAGGGGCACTGGTGGAAAGTGGGTGGCTTAGATGTAGTGAGTGAGGGAGAGTGGGGAGAATCCAAACTCATATCAGGGTTTTGGTACTAGGTAAATGGGTGAATGGACATGATCATTTTGAAATGCCTTTGGTGCAGAATTGAACTGCTTGGTAGGTGGCATTCAGAAACTGAAAAATTATATTAAAATATACTATTCGTTAGCTATATTTTCTAGAGCCCAATATACAAGCATTTTTGTTAGCTATTGCTCAAGACAATAATGGCAAACAAATTGGCGAAGGAACTGGAGGAGGTAAACATGGGTTCTGGACAGCAGTAGAAATGATTAACTTTTTTCAACTCATTTATTTATTCAGCAAACATGTATTGAAACGTTACTCTGTCCCAGGCATACTAGTCATAGCTCCAATTCTGCTCAAATAAAGAACCAGGAAAATATGATGATGCTAGACATTTAACACTTAAGGAACAGCTTAGGGTCTTAATGCTGCCTCCTGAAGACTGCACATTTAATGTGCTTTTTTGGCCGCGAGAAGATATGTGGGGCTATCCAGAGGTGGCAAAAGTACAATTACAGAAATATTTTATCTGGATTTTTTTTCCATCTTAGAGGTTCTTTGAGATTAAAAATAAAGCCAGTCTGATTTCATTCCATTTCTACAGATTTCTTGAGTATTTATTATCATAAAGTATATAAGGTAGGGAGCATGGAATGATATGGTCAGTAGAAAGAACATGGGCTTTGTCAGGGTGTGGTTTCTGGCATTCAAATTTGACTCTTTCAATCACTGGTTCTTTGACCTGGGGCAGGTTACAGTTCATCTGAGCCTCATTTTCCTCAGCAGTTCCTCCCTCTTTTCCGTGGTGTTTCAGGGAATAGAGATTGATGAGTTCTTAGCTTCAAGAATAATAATAAGCAGAATAAAGTTGTATTTTGAGTGATGTTCAGAGTACTTCAGATATTCAAAAAGGGTTGAAATGTTCAATTGAAAAGGTCTGAGAAAGAATTGTGAATGAGTTGGCTTTCAAGCTGACCCTTAAAGGAAGAATTTTGGGTAGGCAGAGACGAGAAAAGCAATCATTTCAGGTAGTGGGAAGCACCCGTGTAACCCTTAATTGTGTTTGTGGAACCATGGGTAGCACCTGGGATAACGGGAACAGGTTCTTGAGGGAGTTAGAGAGTGTGTCAAGCCTTCAAAGTTAGGGGAAGACAGTTCTGAATTCAAGGTTTCCTGAAGTTCCAGGTGAAAATGTCACTATCTTTCTGTTCCAAGCTACAGTATCTCTCAGGCAAGTTTGATTTAAAATAAGATGCATTGACATTCTAGAAATAAGTTTTTTGGGATAGTAATCTGCAATATTTCTTGTGTGAGGCTTTATTTTTATAAAATACATTAAAAATCAGATCTGAAAGTTCTGTTGAGGTTTGTAGGAATGCCGATTATGATTATGCAACTATTTTAAGTGATAATTGTGAAGACTGTAGAAATATAAAAATGTATATGGTAATTTAACAAGAATATGGAACTAAATTGTATTTTAGGAGGGAAGATAAGAATGTTTTTAAAGGATTCTGTTTATATTTTGCTCTAAGAAAAATAGCTGCTGAGAAAAGCCTGTACCTGTACTTTATGCGTTTTTAAGTTATGCAAAATCTCAACAGTTTTATGTCTGATACATCTGATTTAGCTACTCTGCACAGAGAATCTCGGCCAGTGCCCCAACCATTTATAAATACCACTAGCTCAGTGAATCTCAGCTTTTGGTCTCAGTAGCCCTTTAGATTCTGAAAAAATTAGCGAGGACTTAAAGAGTTTTGCTTGGGTAGGTTATAGCTATCAATATTTATCACATTAGAAATTAAAGTAAAAAATTACAGTATTTATTAAATCACTGAAAAATAGCAAAAATTTCCATGACATGTTAACACAAATCATGTTTTAAGGAAAGATAACTTTTTTGTAAAACAACACAAACTTAATAAATAGCATTGTTTTATATTTTTGTAAAGCTCCTTAGTGTCTAGCTTAATAAAAATAGTTGCATTCTCCTAACTACTTTTGTATTCAGTCTATCATACCGTGGTGTCCACTCTCTAGAAAACTGCATTATATAACTGAGAATGAATGGAAGAGAAAAAAAAAAAAACAAATAATGTCCTAGACTTATTATGAAAATACTTTTGACCTTATGGACCAGGGAAAGGAGGAGGGTGTCTTCAGATCCACTTTTAGAACTGCTGAACTAGCATATTTCTGTCTGCATTTTCTGTCTTCAACCTTATTTGCCCTGAGTTTCAGCTCACATCCTACTTCAAGGACACTGTCCCAGTCTTTTACCTTATCTTTCCTACTTCTGTGCAGCATACTTTAGAATCTAATAACACAAGGTTTTGTGGTGTTTAGTTTTCCTATATATGTGTCTTTTTAAAAAAAATTTTTTTTTAATTTAAATTCAGTTAATTAACATGTAATGTATTATTGGTTTCAGAGGTAGAGTTCAGTGATTCCTCAGTCTTATATAATACCCTCTGCTCCTTACATCATGTGCCCTCCTTAATGTTCATCACCCACCCTATGTGTCTTTCTATGAAATTGCACGTTCCTTGAGGATTGTACCCTGGCTTATATTCTCTTTGATTCTCAGTGTGGCTAAGCAATAAATACTTGCTGAATTAAACTGAGCTAGCATGTGATGAGTTTTTACTGAAGAAGTAGGAAAAGCTTTGCATTTTCACCAAAAAAGCCCTATTAATCTCAAAATTATCTTATTTATTCATTCAGCTTTTAATATACTTGAGCTTCTACCTTGTGCCAGATGCTGTGCTAGATATTGGAGATACAACAGTGAATGAAACAGATCTATTTCTGTTTCTGCTATTATCGATCTTCTGGTCAAGTGAGGGGTATTGCCAAATCACACTTAATTGGTTAATGATTGCTTACGTACTGCTGTGATGGTGCAAGTGCAGGGGACTATGAGGATACTTCTGAGTAGTAGTGAATGTAGGCTGGCTATTTTTATTTCGAGCCAGAGCTTTTTTTTTTTTTTTTTTTTCAGTTATTGCAAGAGAGCTCGAGTGGGTGCATGAGCAGGGTTGGGGGGCGGGGAGAAGGAGAGGGAGAAGCAAACTCCCACTGAGCAAGGGTTCAAGATCCTGAGATCATGACCTGAGCCAAAGTCAGAT